TTTAGACAATTTGTTAAAATATATAGTATTTTTAGAGCTTGAAATCTTAATATTTATTTTTGACAACCATAATGTTGAAGCAGAGATGATCAATGTAAATATTTTCCAACGCTTGAATTATAATTTCCAATGAGTTATAAGGTGAAGCTTTACTTATTTTGGTAGGGTTGCAGCCCTATCAAACCATTTTCCTTCAAAGTCCATGGTCCAAGAAGCGCTAACCCATTCCACCAATAAAACATGAGAAGAGTGATGATTGAATTCTTCTTTTCCTTTTCTAATGGGTTGGTTGATGGGCCACTAAGATCCAAGGGATAAACAAACAATCGAATGAGTGCCTCCTCCCTAGTTCGAATGTCAAAGTGTTCACACTACTGTTTAACAAAAAAACAAAAGGAAAAAGTTTCTATAAGGGTGAGGCCCTAGCCAATCAAATTAAGCTGCGTCTCATAAATTCATTAGAAGAGGTTGATTTGATACCCAAAAGTCCTCCAATCATCTATCTTAACCTCAAGATGTATGGGCATGAAAAAAAATGGATTTTAAGTCTTGAAAATAGTGTATCTTGTAATGCATTTTCTAGACCGTCAATTTTTAAGATTTTGAAGTGCTTGTAGATGTGATCGATCTATACTAATTTTGAAGCTTTAAGTTTTATAATTAGAGATAAAAATAAATTTTCAGGCCGTTACAAAGATTTTCAGTACTAAAAAAAACATTTTTCGACACTACTTGAAGGCGCGCCTTACTTTGATTGTTTAGGGCCTTAACTTATATAAACCACACCCTTAAAAAAAAAAACAGATCGAAATTGTTTATCCATAAAAGTATTGGTGGATCAGCCGTCTGAATTGGTGGATCGGCCATATTAGTTGGTTTGTCCATAAAAAAATTTAAATTTAGAATTCTTAAAAACCTAGTTTTCTAGGTTTTATAAAAAAGTGATTTTTTTTTCATTATTTCAATAAAAATAAGTAAATATCATGAATCGGTTGGAGGGGATAGAGATTTAAAGGAGATCACTTTAATTTTTATGGGAGAAAGATTTTAAAGGAGATAATTTCAATTTTCAATTTTCTATGAAGGCTGGAAATATATAATGTAATTTTAAAAGAAAG